AAATTTTCCCTCTCATTTTACTCAATACATGTCCATTGAGATCCTCAATTTGCTCAAGGTTGCCCAAGATTTGACCAGATAAACTCTCTCCTAAGGCAGTGTACCTCAAATTAGGGTTTCCATTTTCATCAAGATGGGTGAACCACAAAGGCCTCATGTGATCTCCATGGTCTTAATATGTTCTTAAGACCCTACATGTCAAGTTTCATGCCTTACACAAGAAGTTTGCTCAGTCAACTGCTCAGATGCTTGAGAATCGACTATATTAGGTCAAAAGTCAATTGTGGCCCACATACAGTCAAACTTCAAGATTTGTGGTCAACATCAAAATTTTGAAGTTATATCCATCATTTTATCAAGGTTTGATCATGATTCCTCAAGGAATGCTCCAAATTCATCAAAACCCAAAAGTTGCTAAATTAGGGTTTCTTAGTAAAACTCAACAAACTTTGACCAAGCATAACTTCCACATGCTTTATTAGAAATTTTCCATCCAAAGCTCATTTTGAAGAGGATGAAATTCCCTACAATTCATATTCAACTCACAAGTTCAAAATATGCACTCATAAAAAGATATGAATTTCTACATTACGGGTCCTTTTGTAAAGTCAACAAAAACACCTTTTGGGTCAAAGCTTCTTACATGAACATGGAAGACTCAATTGAGATGAGACCAAAAGGGTTACCTAGGGGACATCCTAAGCTTTCTAAAAAGTCAAAGAACCCATATCTATGGTTAAAATTGGAAGAGATATGCCTTGTCAAAGTTGACCTTTTTTGTAAAATTGCCAAAAGTCAAATGTGCTCAAAAATACATTTTTTGCTAAATGGGCCTAACTTTTTATGCTTGAACCTCACTTATAATGTGGTCCGCGACTCAAATATTCACCCACACATTATTTGCTTCATTTTGCAATTTATTTTGATTTTTTATTAATTAAAAATTGAATTAAATCAAATAATTGGTGAATAATAGCAAAGATATGATTTGATTTGGTTTTTGGATAGGTTGGCAATCAAAATATGCTGGATTATCAAGGCCAAAATGAATCAAGCATAATTGGTACAAGAAAGGGAATATTTGGCTCAAAATAGCAAGTTTGCATATGGCTAAAGAATCAAATCAAATCTCATCAAACTTCAAGATTCAATCCAAGTTTGTAACCCTAATTCATCCCTAGGTATATATTGGACAAGAACAAAGCAAAAAACAAGGTTCAGCAATCATGAAAGAGACAGAGCAAATTCAAAAAATTCAAAGAAAATTGTGAATCAGTTTTCACTCCTCAGGCCAATTCAAGCCATTCCAACGATTCCAATCGTTTCTTGGACCTTCCCAGAAGCCAATTGGATCATTTGCAAGGCTTAAAACACCCAGAAACACGCACAATCACTCTCACGATTTGCTCATATTTTCAAAATCGATTACTGTATTTCTTGCATCATTAGCATGTTTAAGTTATATATTTGTGATCCTCATCGTGTTTGCAAGCTAACTGGATGATTTAATTGCACTTTTGAAGCCTGTACATGCCTTTGCCATTGTTAGGGTTTGCATGTGCAGTTTAGGGGTTTTGTCCACAGGTGAAATTAGCCAAAAAGAAGGGTACCATGAGGTTCACGAGATCAAAAGAATGGATCTATATAGTTAGAAATCATGTATCATGTGTCTTGTGCGTTTTGGAAATTTGCAGGGGCTACGGCTACAGACATGTGACTGTAGGTAAAAGGTATATAGCTAATACGACGGTCCCAGGAAGAAGAAGATATGTGGCGTGATTCCATTGGGCCATTTGAATTCCGCGCGTGTTTTTTTCTTTCCAACTAACCCACCTATTTTTTCTATATTATATTTTGTTTCTATTGTTTATACAACAAAGCAAGACAGCTCAGATGGTGAAGCGCATTAGTGGGAAGTATAAGGACCTGGGTTCGATCCCAGGTCCCAACAAATTTTCTTTATTTCACTTTCCTTCAACAGATCCAGTGCATTGTCATTATAAACGCCCACCATACTCCACCAATCTCCAGCCAGTTGATTCATCATCCATTCAAATCAACGCATAGGCAATGAGGGACTATGATGCACCCTCAGGTCAACGCCATAAAGAATCCAATGTTGACCGGGCCTGGAGTGCTTTTGGGCTTGAAGATTTCAGATTGACACCCCCCTTTTGCTAGCATGCGGGCACAGTTTGTAGTTTCTTTCTATTTTTTTTCTAATTTCTTTAATTGTTTTCTTTATTTGTTTTAATTAATTAACACAAAAAATATTATTTTTTCCATAAAATCAACAAATCATAAAAAAGAGCTTTTTTATATATATAATATTTTATTTAATATAATTAGTAAATTAGGTAAATTTAATTTCTTTTTTATAATTAAAATCAAATAGAAACTAGGTTTTTTAATTTTACAATTAAATTTCTTTTCTCAAATAAAAAAAACCAAAAATACACAAAATCTTTTTGTGCAAAACATTTTATTTTCTTGAAATTATTTAATTTAGCTAGATTAGGTTAATTTCAACTTCTATTTGTAAATAAAAATAATTAGAATTAGGGTTTTATTGTACATAATTTAATTAATTCTTTTCTCAAAAATAACTTAATTATTTTTCAATTAGGGTTTAGGTTATTTTTCAACATCCCTCGTATTTAATTCGCCGCGCATTTAATTATTTATTTTCCATTATTTTTGTAACTGCTAATGGTTTGTAATAGTTAAACTAGGGTTTTATTTACTGCTTTAACCCCTGATTCTTTAGTTATGTAATTAATCCCCATCCCCCGAAGCCTTGTAATAGCTAGGTTTATTTTTTCGCATTTTTAATTCCTGCAAATATTTAACTGTCTAGATGTATGCTAATAGGATTGTATGGCAAGAATATCTGATATTAAAACGGTAGATAACCTAATGTGCAAAGATTAAATAACTGAAACAATTCATATGCACATATTCACTCCTAGGGTTTACCTCACTTCGGTTGCCTTCAGTAAACAGTCATTAAGCATAGGAGATTTTAGTGGTTGCCCTCCAGTCTAAAAAGATTAAATTGTCCCATTCGAATATTGTCTCGGAAATGTTGTCTCGGAGATGTTGCCTCGAAAAGATCTTAAAACTCTAGGGTTACTACTAAAGTTTTCTAACTATTGCTTTAGCGATTGTACTGGTCCCTTTCGAATGTCCCTTACAACTCCAACGATGGTGCTACCTACTCCTTAATAGTAGGATGGCGTTGTCTAAAGGAAACGAGAACAAACAATCTTTTTTCGAGTAGGTAGAATCTTAAGTACTTGCTCAATGAAAACTTTTCACACAAACACCTTTCAAAACAATTTTCAAAATAAACTTTGTCACACTCTTGAGGACTGATACAAGGGTTATCACGAAGTAAAACATTTTCAAGACAAACACACACAAGCAATTTGAAAAATGAGCAAGTACCTAAGAGCCCATAGATAACTACGGATAGAAAGGGTGTTAACACCTTCCCTTTCTATAATCTACCCCCCGTACTCAGAATATCTCGAAAAAAGATTTTTTTCTGTTCTTTTTCCTTTTCCATGATTGGATGAAATAAAAGTCGGTGGCGACTCTTGCTTACCGCAACATTTTGCGAACAAAAAAACGCAAAACACAAACCAGTAAAAACAGTCGGTTCTGCCACCGTATCACACCACACAATCTTTACTATCGTCGAATCAACAATTTTCTCAAACATGTTCTCATCCACACATTAATGGAAGAAGAACAACGCCTTCTGATCTTTCTTCCTTGTATCTCTCTATACATTTCTCCGTTCCTCTGTCGCATCTGCTGCAACTGGAACATAACCATTTGTAACAAGCTCAAGAACATCCTGAGCGCCAAACAGCACACGCATCTGAATCATCCAACAATTCCAGTTTTTTCCATTAAATACTGGAAGCTTAGTGCTTAGACTACCATTTCTGGTCAATTTCAACCTTGTACATAATACTCAGATCTCACAAACACGGTGTTTTCCAATCCCACATAATCAGAAAAATGTGATTTTGTTCAAATTTTGTTCAAGATTCAACATGAATTCAAGAACCAAAATCAATCACACAATACCTCACTGTTTCACTCGTGTTTCCCGTGAATCTAGTCGGAGCTCTAGATATCAATTTGTTGGTGCACAAGGTTAATAAATGAAAGAAAGATAGGAGAGAATATATTTACTGAAATGACGGCTATAAAACTTACAAAAGAAATGATACAAATGATTGCTACTACTAGTCTATTTATACAAAAAGTAAACTGCCACATAGGCCGTAATAAAAGTAAACTTAATGACTAAGTTAAAAGGTATAAACTAGGAAATACTGAACTTAACAGTTACGCTAACAAACTCAACTCCAGAACCTCAGAAGGTAAGCATACTTCTGGGCGTTACCTCATAAGCTTTTGCTTCAGGCAGATAATAACTTCTGACTAACAACCTCAGAAACTTTATTGTTCTAAGCAACACCGCTTCGGATTGACAATATCAGAAGCTTTTGATTCTAATCAACAACTTCTGAATATGAATTACTTCTAACAAGAAATTGCATCTATTTCTGCTACTCGTTTCAGCTTGGAGAATTCAGTGTCTAAACCTTCTAATATTTTTTGGCCTTGTCCAACTTTGTTTCATCCTAAGAACAGGTAACATTGCCAAAACTCGATATTACTAAGTTGAATGTTGATATTAGGTTTCAAATTCTAAATTTCATGATCGTGTGTCTTGAGATTTTAGTAGTTATTACCGATTCGTATACCTGTTAAAAAATATTTATTTTGAATAAAACAATTATTTTGAATGATTATTTTATCTTATAGTTGGTTGACATGATTAGGTAATATTGACCATATTATTATTGTCAAACATGTCTTGCTTTTTTATATAGAAAACACATGTTCAAATAAAAGTACTAACTTGAATATAAAGAGTAGTATTAAATTGACATTTGAGTACTATTTTAAATAGCTAACTCCTAGTTGAACCAATTATGATTTATGTTATTCTCACAATCCAAGAGTTCCTCTAACAATTTTTCATCTAGATACTCAAACTCAATGACTTGTTCACCATCTTTTGATTTAACTTTTGAAGAAGATGATGATGATGAGGTTGAACTCGAGGAGGAGGGTAAACAAGATGGCTTAGAAGGATTATCAGCTACATGGCATGGAAAATGTTCGTGAGGAAAGTTGAGAATAGCCGAAGAACCTCTCATATCGAACGCAGCGCGGTCATAAGCTCTTGCTGCTTCCGTAGCCGTGTTGAATGTGCCAAGCCAAACTCGAGCACCATGCCTAGTCGAATCTCGAATCTCGGCTGCAAATTTTCCCCATGGCCTTATTCTTACTCCTCTATACTTTATTTGCTTCGGTAATTCACCTTTATTTATTGCATTTTCCATTGTGTGAACAAGAATTTTATTAGCAATATAGTGTAATAACTTAGTCTTTTATATTGAACTAAGAAAATACATTTATTTGGAAAATTATTCAAGGTTCAATGGATTGGTGAATTAACAAACGTGGTGAAAGATACATCCATGATTGAGATTGGTTATAGAGTTCAATTCAATGTATGTGGATTGTGATCGATGCTATAACTATAGGCCTATAATTTCTATTTTGATTATTATTATAATTGTTGATAAAGAAAATTACCTAGTTGGTATATATTTCTGACGAGACAAATTATGATGTAAGAAGGATGATGTATCGAGAAGCTATATGCTACTATTATATATGCTAATGATAATTTAATAGTTAATTTTGTAATAATCTATGAAAGTTTTGGATATAGAAAAATGATAATTTGTCTTACAAGTGCAAGTTGTTTGTTGTGAAATATTAATGATAAGATTATGTAGTTGTTAATTAAAAAACAGAGAATTGATTAATGTTTCATCTATTTTATAATGAGTGATTCGGTCCATTATTTTATATATATTAAAAAATAATATAGAAAAGTAAGAGAGAATAATATTTTTATTATAATATATTTAATTATGTATTACATATGATGAAAATTTAATTAATTAAATGATAGAATTAGAAAAAATATATCGAAAATTGAAATGGATCATCTATTTTTAGATATTATTTTATTCTAAATGAATCACTTATTATAAGATAGAGAGAGTATAATGTTATTAAATGAAATTAATCACGTGGTTAATGGTATCTTGAGATAGTAATTGTGAAACATTGAACTTCAAGCTTTGTACATGTTTTGTCTTACATCATGTGTTTTTAGATAATGAAATAGAACTTGGTGGCTTTTTTTTTTCTTGTCCTTTGTTTTGAATAACTAGAGTTAGATTAATCCGTTTTTAAATTTATTAATAATTAAATAGAATAATAGTATTTGTGTCCAGAGCCAAATTTCATTCATGGCATAAAACGTATTCAGTTATCATATTTTAGACCCTTTAAAACCATGAATCATAATGATCTTTCTGTGTTTAACTCTGATCAGTCATAGAGATGTTGTAGCTAAAGGGGGACATAGTTTTAGTGGGGAAAAACCTCTACTAAGAATAAATGGTTCGAATACTACTCGAATTCGATTTTTGATGAAAATAAAATTTGACAAATGAATCGTTTTTTTGAATCACAAAATCAAATTAGTCGATTCACTAAATATTTTGAAATTGATTGGCTAAACAAAAAAACGATTATATTCATTGCTTTTTTATGTCTTTTTTGGATGGAAATTCAGTGGACAAGAACAATTTCCAATTTATTGTGGTGTTTTGTTAGACTCAACAACAAATGTTGGAACTTGAAACTATAAGGGAAACGAAAGTTGGAAAGAAAAAAAAAAAGACAAACTGGTTCCATAACCAAGTATGCAACTCCATAAGCAAATATTATACTATCAAGAGTTGTTTTAGGGGGGTCTGTATAAATTTATCGTAATTTAACAATATAAAAGTAAATTGGAGTATTATTTATTTAAGGTTTAACCATTATAAATATATTATGAAATTCTTTTTAATCTTGATTTAATCGTGACAAATTTTATAGCATGTGCAGTAATTAGTCTTGTACATCTTTAAAGGCATCCTTATATCAAATATTTAGAATCTTGAAAATACCCAAATCTTACCATGGATATTAAAAAAGATACAAACCGAACCTATCCAATATCTTTGGATTGGACCAACCCAAATTACCTTGTTAACCATGAAACATGGGTGTCACTAAGGGACGCCACTAGCTAGTAGGACCATCCAAGACACTAATCAGTTATGAGCTCACTAGTAAACATGAGGGACAAGAGCCAAGACAATATTAATTCAAATTTCAAACAAGACAAACCACATTCCAAAAATGACACTACAAAGATTGTTTTTTACTACAAAGAAAAAGATAACCTTACTTGTAAAGTCAAACACTGACCCCTCGTACTTCTCAATGTGTAGTTCCTTTTGTGACAAATGCATGTGCCTGTTCCTTACAACTTAGAACTCATAATAGTAATAATAATAATCCAATGCATTCATTTCATTGCTTTTCCACTTTCATCACTATTTTACTCTTTCTTTCTTTAAATTACACTCATTTCTATCAAACACAATCTTTCTTTCTTCCTTGTCATTGCTAAGAAACAAAGCAATCTCATATCAACATTCATAGTTTTTTCAAATGTCACGATCTTCTTTGCCTATAGTTGCAATTGTTGTACTAAGCATCTTGGCCATTGTTTTCATATTCATCAGTTACTTGATTCTTGTGACCAAGTGCTACTCAAACTGGTGGCATCCATTGAGATGGATATCAATCCTACCACCTTCACAGAATGAAGAGCCCTTCATGTCGTTCTCTCCGAGGACATGGAACCGTGGCGTCGACGAATCCGTCATCCAAGAAATCCCAACTTTTCAGTTCACGAAAGGAGAAGGCGGTGACGATCGTCGAAGTGTCAAAGGTTGTGTGGTTTGTTTGAATTGTTTCCAAGAACAAGATATGCTGAAAGTACTTCCAAATTGCAGCCACCACTTTCACTTGGATTGCATTAACATCTGGCTTCAAACAAATGCTAACTGTCCTCTTTGTAGAACAAGCATTTCAGGCAATGCGCAGTTTCCGACGAACCGTACCATAGCAGCACCGAGTTCTTCACCGCAGGATTCTCAGTTATTCTCTAACATGGGTAGTGATGAAGATTTTGTGGTGATTGAATTGTGGGGAGAAGGTGAGCATAGGGGAACAATGTCTCATATGCAGCAAGAAAGAAATGAGTCGAGGGAAAGCATAGCATCGTCGCTGAGTAGAACTCATTCTACAACTAGAAACATGGAGGAGAAGGTGGTGGAGCTGAAACCATGGAAATGTCATGGTGTTTCCATCATGGGTGATGAGTGTATTGATGTTAGAAAAAAAGATGAACAGTTCTCTATTCAGCCTATTAGAAGATCTTTCTCATTGGATTCTGCGAGTGATAGAAAAGCTTACTTGGAAGTTCAAGACATTGTCAGACAGAATAATAGGCATCATCAAAATGAGGATTGTGACAGTAAAGATTGTAATAGTAGCAGAGGTAGAAGATCATTCTTTCCATTTCATTATGCTAGGGGATCAAAAACTCCATTGCTTCATTGATAATAATACTATAATAATGTTAACTTGTGATGCAATTAGATGAGTTGTTTTTTAGTTTTTTTTTTTTTTTTGTCAATGTTATATTCTAAACTTTCATTCCAATTTTGGTGGTGAGAACTTTACATTTGAGTGGGGTCAGTGAGGAGTGACATAAACGATATAAGTAAAATAATAGACAATGCTTCGGTAGAGTTAGTATGACACTATTAAGAGGTATTCTCAAAAATAGAAAAGGCATTGCTTTTAGTTTGTCATTACTTGAAATCACAAATGAAAGCAAATGATTACTTGCACGCAGGCAGCTTTCATTAATGTTCAATTCATGGTCCCTCTGTCATGTCTTTTAGTGTCATTTGGGCCCAAAGATTGTAAAGAACGCAGGGTACACTATCAATTGGAAGCCAGAGAATAGAGGGACCTAGAGAATAAGAAACCACAAGAAAATCTTATCGAAGACCCTTTATAGGCAGCTTCAAGACATTTTTAAGTTCTAACATCAATCTGAGGCTCAATTAACAGTCTAACCTCACTTAAATGAATTTATGTACAGAAAGAATAGAGTTTCCAAATAACTAAAACAGAAAGGGCCAATCATGACTTGGAGGAAATTCATGCATTCTATTTAATTGAAAGCAAGAACCTCCCGAACAAATAATGTGGGAGAGGGACAAAGCTATTATTCAAAAGCCTGCAGTTGGAGTTTCTGGAGGTCTGCTATATATATCACCAAAATGTAGATTAAATTCCCCGGCCTCTAAGTCATCTGTCAGTGCTGTTCTAGATAATTTGTCGTGATGATCTCTCCAGTAAGAGTATTGTTCTTGATCTTGATCCTCGGAGCCCCTATCAGAAAACTTGTCATGATAATTATATGCTGTCTGGTCAGTGAAATCTGGACGCTCAAAGAAGCTTGTCTGAGCCTTTCCACTATTTAGGCGACTTCTAGCCCACTCTGTTTGATCATTAAAATCTGGAGGCTCAAAGGAGCTTGTCTGAGCCTTTCCACTATGTAGGCGACTTCTAGCCCACCCTGTTTGATCATTGAAATCTGGAGGCTCACAGAAGCTTGCCTGAGCCTTTCCACTATGTAGGCGACTTCTAGCCCACCATTGGCTTCTAGTAGCTTGGGGAAGTTCATTATAATTTTGATCGTTAATAAGGCTCTCCCTGAAGATGGGAGCTGACGTGGAAGCCCCAAGATGAGATCCAGCCCGTTCCTCTTGGTACTGATTAGAGTATTCTTCATACTCGGGTTCGTTCTGTTGCAAGTTGGAGGGCATTGAATAGTCTCTGGAATAATGTTCTGTTACTCCATATGGTTCGAATGGAACATCACTCGAAGTTGCTTCATGAGGTCGAGATGTGTAGTACCAATCAAGAAGATAGGGATGATTGTTCTGGTTGGCTTCTATCAGCCACAAAGAACCCAAGTGATTGCCAGTTTCAAAAGTACTGTGTGGCATTTCCACAGATATAAATCGGTTTCTGTCTCCATTGTCTCCCATATTGGGACTACCCCTCCACATTCTAGGAGGTGAAGATCTATGTCGGTTTCCATTTGCTGATAACTTCTGCTCTCTGAATGTTCTTAGATTTTGAAAAAACTGCTTCCCCTGAGCATTTGGTTCCCATGATGGGTAACTACTCTGAAAACTGTAATGACAACAGAAGATTAAATTAATAAATAAATAGATAAATAAAACAGTTCGAATAGGCCCAGTTCGCATGGGCTCCAAAACAAAAATTCTGAGGAATAAGTTGCCTAGGGTTCTATTTTTACATATTAACTAAATCGAACTAAATGTAAACATAGTTTTACTTTTGTTTTAACAACGACCATAAAATTAAAAACCATACACACACGGAGAGGTATCAGAATCTTCATAATAGTAACAGAAATCATTTTTAAATCAAAGCACATATATGGATAACTGATGGAACTTTTTCCTTCACCGAGTTTTACGTTTCTCAATGAATTCATTCCTCTTCCAACCCCCCACCCCACCAAAATAAAAAGCATATAAGAGCAATATTTACTCCATTGCAACTGCTATTAAAAGTTGAAGATGTGATAGCAGACAGCAAATGAAAGAGAACCCAGAAGTCCCGAGAGATTTGTTGAAACGACCTCAATGAATACACAATGTGTGGATTTGTCTTTTGATTATAATAACAAGCTTTCCAAGACCATACCTCAACAACGATTTCTCCATCTTTCCCTGTGAACTCCTCCGGATACGAGGGGCATTGTATGGGGAACCGTAATGAGTGTTTCCATGCTCTTGAAAATCAAAGGTGCTAAAACTGTGACAACATCAAGGATATAATAATGTAATCAATAATTTCCACCATTAGCACATGGAAATTGAGACACCCCTTCCCCCAAAACAAAATCATAGAAGTCCCAGAGAATGGCCAGAAATTAGACATGTACATCACAAAACAAAACAATCATGCTAACCTGCAAACATGCCCAACACCTTCAACATTTACAGTGAAATCAGCAATGTACTGCAAGATATCATCAACTCGCTGCAAAATGGAGAGAAAAAGAAATTACAGTGAAATACATTATGCTTAGACGCCATATAAATAAATCTCCAAGTACTAAAAATGACCTTTAGGAGAATAAATAGATAATAACCTTTGGGACAACAAATAGAAGTAAATATGGAGTGAGGAAAATTGAAGCCATATCTTCAAGTAACATCATTCCAGTATACTGCACCATACAAAGAAATACATGAGCATGAGAAGTATTCAAACCTATGCAATAGTGTAAATAAATAACAAGTAAGGGTAAACCTAACATAAGGTGAATGTAATAAACCAACACCTCAGGTAGGGTACCTGGAATAAGGTTTCAAACTCAATGCGAACCAGTTCAGTAATTTCTTTGCCACGCCATCTCTTAGGCATATAATGTGTATATTGAACCACCATAGATATTGCTCCCTCAGGATTTAATACAAGAAGCTCATTTTCAATTGCAGCCCGGCTAATAGCCGTTATAGTTCCAAAAACAGCAGCATACCAAAACAAGTTCCGACCAAATATCTGCAATGAATTTTAGGAAAAAATAAAAAACCTTCAGTGACTACCATGGCATTAAGTAAACTTAGTCAAAATTACAGAAGTTCATTACATGGCCCTCTAGAAGAGACTCCTCGAGAAAAGCAATAATTATCAGAACTGCAGCAAATCCACCAGATACAAAAGATATGAATTTTGCAATGATAGATATGATAGGTGATGGAAATTGCTTCAGATAATCAGAAGCATGCAATACACTGTTATTAATCCGATGCCTGAAGAGATGGTCCACCTGTAACACAAGTTATTGATACACTTTAGCATTAAAAGTAAACGAATATAAGTGACATGATGTTAAAAGTGATAACTGAGGTTCTCTTCAAATGACTTACATGGTAGCAAAGTCAAATAATTACGTTAAAAGAAAATTAAAATTCTTGTCAATGCTCAACCAATTTAAAAAAGTATGCAAGAATAAGCCAGCTATGCTGGATGACTAGACTAGAATAGTACCATAATATGGTCACTTATTAACCGCTTTTCAAACATCATCAACTAGTTAAGTGTCAAATTTTCCTGAACTAAATATTTTTTATCAAGAATTTCCTTTCTTGTAATTTCCCTAAATTCTCCAATAAGGATTTTCATGAATAGTTGTGTACAACTTCAAATCTTTCTTTGATGGTGATTGTTTCAAGATATGAACAAAGAAAACATGGATTAAATACACAACCACTGATTGGCCTCTATCAAAGCTTTTTGGATAACTGTTGCATGTATGTTGCCAATTATTTCCTGAAAATAAACTGAATCAAATATGCACTTGGTCTTTGACACTCTATTAAAGTGTCTATGGACACTATGAAAGCAACAAAATGAGCTTAAGGCAACGGCAGATGAGCTGAAAAAATGGAATACCAAGAAAATGAATAATGATACCTCATTGAATTCCCTAAACATCCACCTAGACAAATTTGACCATCTTCGAGACGATGCAGTGCTTGGATGATTATAAAATTGCTCAGCATGCTTCAGAAATAGATATGCCAGCATGAATATGACAAGGAATGGAGAAAGTAAAAGCATTGCAAACCCAACTACCATAAGCCTTTTCTTTAATGTCTTGGGATTTGACACAAAATCCCTTCTGACATGGAAGTTCCTGCAGAAAAAGCCATGTTCAAAGGAAATAAAAATAAGAGTTAATTATATGAAAGTTCTCATATTAATTACTTTACTGAACCATCACATAGGTCAATCTAAATGTGTTCATGTCAAAGACAAATACAAAATAAAACAACCAACTCCTATCCAACTATGGAGTTACAAGTGTAATGTCCAGACTAATCACTAACGTGAAAAAGTGTATATCTTAAGCATCATATATAAATTGTATCCTTCTATAAGGCACTAGCGTGCATCTAACTAGTCCTATCCAACTATGAAGTTACAAGTGTAATGTCCAGACTAACGTGAAAAACTGTATATCTCAAGCATCAGATATAAATTGTATCCTTCTATAAGGCACTACTGTGCATCTAAGTAGTCCTTCCATCCTTCAAACAAACAAACCGATTTCACAAAAATGGTTAAAAGGGAAATTGGAAAACCTCAAAATATAATAATTCATATTCATATACATTGTCATTATTAACAAATTACAAAAACAAATGATATTGAACACTCTGATTATACAAAAATCAACATACCGATCAAACATGCTCTGCAGGATGCACCAGTTTAAAGTCCATTCAAGGGTCTTGGTAAGTACTAAACGATGTTGTGCTCCATCAGGACTAGATTGAACTGTAGGGCCAGCACCTGGAAACCATTGTGAAATGGGGAAAGCAAGCACACCCTTGTTGAGCATTCCGATTAAGTAGTTCTCCTTCCGCATCAGTCTCATGACTATATCATGAACAGAAAGATCCTTTAGCACGCATAGCTTTCGAGTACTCTGAACGAGAACAACTTTGTCAACGATTGTGGCCCAGGGCATAGTTTGAATTTCATTGTCAGTAACATGAAGACTGCAAGACAGCCATGGTATGTTATGACAACAAAAAAAACATGTGGAACTCTGGAAAATTAACCAATTGCTTCAATACATTTTGGTTGTTCATCATTCATACTTACCTGTTGTAGTAAAACTGGCGGATTTCTAGAGTATCTTTTAGTTGAGCAAAGAATCTCAAAAAGCAAAATATCCAATAGATCGAAAAAATTCCCAAGTATCCAACAATAATAGCTTTGGTAAGTGTCAGGGGGGTTAAAGGGTGTTGATTAAGAGCTTCTTTGCTAAGATCACAGGGCTTAATTCCAGATTCAACTGCATCCATCCCACATTTTGCATTACGGAGTCCATTCCAATCAACATATAATAAAAAAAATCCTGAAAAGCATATGGTGAACCCGAGACTTAGAAGTTCAACAATCCACTTTATAACAATGCACCATAGCCCTTTCTCGCAGTAGTAGCTGTAAAGTCTTTCAAAGAAGAGATCCAAATCAGCAATCGGTTCTACATATACGCTTTCGCTATTAAGGAGATCTGAAGGGCTCTCACTTCCTGGACTTGGGAGTTTTCCGTATGCAGACAACTCAATCTCCGGCGAATCATTAAGTAAACCTCTTGTCAGAGATGAAGGACTTTGCTTTTTCCATTTGAATATACTAAAAGCACCGGAACTACTTGGTCTGCTAAACATTGTTCACAGACACTAACAGTAGGTGTAAACAGCCAGTCCATTCCCCAAAGGGCAAAACGGTTATAACAACACTCTACATTCATGACCGAGTAAATATTAGAATCTTAAAAAGGCAAACAAACAGATAGGGTAAGAGACTATGTAGTTGCAATCCTATTTGGCAACTCAGATCAACAACAGAAAAATAAAAGAAAACGCAGTATGAATCACCCCCAAAAATGAACAACTATACTAGGTCTTTGCATCATGAGCTAGTAGGAAACACAGAATATTGTCAATAGTACTAGACTATGTTTGGATAGTCTAAAACGAACGGAGCGGAATGGAATGAAGTGGAGAGGAATGGAATAAATATATCACTCCATTGTTTGGGCATATCATGACGGAATAGAGCAATTTTCTCATTCCGTCCAAATCAGAGGGTACAAAAATTAATGGAAAGTGATGGAATTGGATGGAAAGCGTTCCACTAAGTTCCGCTCCATTCCGTCCATTTTAAATTAATCCAAACAATGGAATATAAGTTTATATCATTCCATTCAGCTCGCTCCGTTGTGTTTCATCAATCCAAACATAGCCTAAGATTTATACATGCCAATGAACATCATACATACCTGATCATAAGAAATGTCATACAAAACTGTCAAGACCAAAATCCCAAAAAACTTGAAAGGGCTTGCAGCACCTGAAGTTACATCCTAAAATGTCAGCATGAAACCATTTCACAGAAGCACATAAAAAATTAAAGTTGTGAAAGAATGTTAGGAAGTCCCAAGTGTTGATTTGCACAAATTCACGGTGCCAATTTTGAACAAACCAACCAACCAACCAATGATCATAAAATAAGCAAGTGTAACATGAGTCAAATTGGTATCAACAGCTTATATCTTCCAACAATTTTTTCTTTCTCAACATTGTCAGGTCTTTTCAACATGTGAAGCACCGACACCAGAAACACGATAGTGACACTGACACGTCGAACCTTATAACAATTTGCAGTGTTTGCCTCAAGCTGCTAAATTAAAACCCTAAAACCATTGTATTTTGTAATTGTATATTAACTTCCATAAACACCATACAAGAAAAAGAAAAAATTCGGCTATATTATATTTCCTCCCATTCCTACAAGTCTACAACACATTCAAATAAATAGTAACTACAATTCCAATGTAACAAAAAACTGATTCAACAAAACAACATATTGAAAGAAAAAAAATTGCAAATCAGCACCGAAATCGTGCATGCGAAATACAATAGTTAAAGCACGTGTATATGTATTAAACAAAGGTAAAATAAAAGAAAAACAAAAAAAACAGCGAATAGGGATGAAAAAGAAAGGGATAAATAAAGTGACGTACGTTGAAGTTATGAGAAGAGTTAGGAGTTGAGAGGTGATAATGAAAGAGTAACGAATGAATCGAGTGAAGTAATGAAATTGTGGAAGTTGAAGAATCGGGGAGAATAACGCAGAGGAAAAGAGGAAGATGATGATGATGATGAGGGATTTTTGTTTGTAGTTGCGTGGAGGAAGATGAAATTACAGCGTCAATATTTTAATATTATTACTAATATAAAGTTTGCGTTACGAAGGAGCATAGGTTTTTATAAGTTTTTTTGTTCTTTGTTCTTGCTTTTCTTCAATCGCTTCTTCTTCTTCTCCTTTCCAACAAGATTGCCCAATTGAAACGCCGCGTTTGGCTCGCGCAAAAATAAATGTTCAGGGTCGGGTCGGGTCGGGTCGGACCGTCATATTAAAATAACTGAATATAATAATTATATATTCATTCATAGATATATGGAGTATGTTTCTTTAATTAAAAAGTTATCTGCTTAGTTAAATTTTGTTTTTCTATTATAAATATATAAAAAGTAAAGTATATGGTAATTACATGATAAGTCATTTGTTTAAAAATTAAAATTAGTTTATTTATAAGGGTAAAATTGATTAATTACATACAACTTGTTTTATATTAATTTAGTATTTTCAATTCGGCTAAACCATATTAATATGGCTTTAGAGATACTGCGGTCGAACATCTTCAAGTTTCGCCAACAATTATTAGATTTAGCCACAATCCCAACCACGATCGCGCATCTGATATTCTCATCCTAACATGTTAATTTCTTTATTTCAGACGTTCAAGCGAAGGAATGGTGATCGCAACAAGCATGGTCGTGGCCATGTCAAATTTATCTATTGCCCTAAGGTTTTTTATTTTTTCTTCTACTTTTGTGGTTTCAATTTTGGTTCTTAGGATTAGGTTATAATTGAATTGGGGTTTTTGTTTGATAGGAATTGAAGAAGAGGAAGTGGCGGTTGGAGTTCCATAGATCTATTTATTTATCAAAACCAGATTCACTTTCACTATTCTCACTCCTTTTTCTCTTCGTCAGCAACTCCTTTTTCTCTCGGCGGGAAGGAGGTATAGTTGTGCTTGAAATTTTAGTATATTACTTGCATCAAGCTTAGAAAATCTAACAGTTTCTGATTTGATGTTGCAGGTTTTAAGCATACTAAAAGTTTTATTGACAACAACTTCTCCTTTGAAAAATGGGCTCACCCTTTACATAATCGAGCAATTCATTAATGAACAAAGGACACGTTCTATCCATAAAGAGTAGATCTTGCAAACAATAACCAATTAGAAGCTCTGGATGCTCTACGCAATAGAGTTCTATATTTTGTTAGACGCAGTTTGAGCAAGTATTTTTGTTATGTTTTAAGTTTAATTATGATGATGTCTTGGTGTAGTATTTTAATATTTTTAAATCTTAAGTAGTTGATGATTTGTTGGATAAAATTTGGTCGAGTTAAGAATTTTGAAATATTGCGGTGGTTTTTTCCAGAACGTTGTTGAAGGTTCTGAATCCATAACAAGTTAGTGTATGGATCACTGGTGTGTTTACTCTTAATTTATTAAATACTATCTCATTTTCTATTTGTAAGAGACAAACTTAAGAAATCACACAAACCAAGGAATATTTTTTTAATTAATTTTTCCAAAATATTAACTTGTACTTCCAAAAATATCCCTAAGTTAAACTTTTAGTAGTATTAATGTTATAATTAATGTTGGTGTAATATCATTACTACAGGGTTTAATCCAATGTTGGTACAACAAAGATTGACCAACATTTATTCTCTCTTGACAAGAATAATTATAACAAAAAAATTAAATTTTGGCTTTTCACATACTTATTCTGAAAAATTAGATGCAAATTAAATTTTCCATTATTTTTTCTCCACAACTTCCCACCAAATTTTGAAAACCAAAATAAACTTTTCACCAATTTTTATAGTGCATTTGACTTTTCTATATAAAGAGAAATGGTGTTTCGTTTCAATCATACTGAAAATTTTGCTTTCATTTCTAGAATTAAGACCATGACAGATGAAGATGGTGAGTAATCTCTTTACAAATTGATTATTGCGTGACAGGTTATATATATGGTGATTTTTTTTCAATTTTGTTTACAATTCACTATTGACACCTTAATATACATGGTGAATCACTTAAGTCTTAACTGTTTTGATTTTTTAATGGTGATACACGTTAATATATATGGTTATATGCATGGTAATATGCATCATTATATGCATGGTAGTATATTTATACATGATCGTTTTTTTCCTGTTTTTTTATACTACTATAAGTTTTAATGATTTATCGCAGACTCGGTGACAAGTGAAAGTTCTAAAAAATGTGACTTCCTTAACAACGAAGATAGAAAGGTTATATGTCAAATATTTCTTTGCTCTAGTGATGCTAATGGAAATCTAATTGGAACCGGAGTAGTAGAACGGGTAGCGACATCATACGATGTTCATAGAAGTGTTATTTATCGCATATGGAAACAATTAAAGGACACGTGTAATGCTTGTCATAACATAACACAAAATTATGGAAGGAAAAGAGTTCAATTAGATTTGGAGTTAATGCGTCAAGTTCCATTATCAAAACGGTTAACCTTTCAGTCTCTCGCTTGTGCTCTAAATACTCCTAAAACATCATTGGTAAGGTTGCATAAGGTCGAAGTTATACGACGGCATACGAATACACTTAAGCCTTATTTAAAAGAGGATAACATGATTGCTCACTTAAGGTTTTGTTTTTCGGTGATTGACAAAACTAGCTTACCTCATGATCCAAAGTTTATTTCTATGCATAATATTGTGTTCATCGATGAGAAGTGGTTTTATATTACCAGGAATAAAGTCACTAATTACTTGCATGTGGATGAAGAAGAGCCACATAGAACCTGTAAAAGCAAAAAAATTATAAGTAAAATTATGTTCTTATGTGCAGTGACTAGACCCAGGTTTGACAATGAAGAAAATGAGACATACTCGGGGAAGATTGGTATATTTCCTTTTGTGTATGAACAACCTGCAAGAAGGAGTAGTGTCAACAGAGTTGCAGGGACAATAGAAACAAAGCCTATAGCTTCTGTTACAAGAGAGGTTAATAAAGCATACTTGATAAATAAAGTTCTACCTCCCATTGAGGACATGTGGCCAAGAGAAGATGTAGAGAAGAAAATTTGTATTCGACAAGATAATGTAAGGTCACATATTAGTATAGATGATCTAGATTTTTATCGTGCATCATGTGAAAGTGAGTTTGATATTCAATTGACATGTCAACCCCCTAATTCACCCAATTTGAATGTCTTGAGCTTAGGCTTTTTCGGTGTCATTCAGTTTTCACAACAAAAGGAACCAGTTAAGTCAATTGATGAGCTTATTGGTGCAATTCAAAAAGCATTTAATCAGTTTTCTACAATGCAATCCAACAAAAAATTTAGTACTCTTCAATCATGCATGATTGAAATAATGAAGATAAATGGATGTAACAAGTATAAAATTCCCCATATGAAGAAATACATGCTATATAAACAAGGTGGCATACCGATTCAAATGAACTGTGATTTCACTAGTACAAGAAGTCACTGAATATTTTCAAAATTGTGATTCTTAAATTTTTCTTACATGTTATGCA